GAGGGGGGGGGGTGGGAGGAAAATTTGGGGGTGTCGTGGGCATAAGGGGGTAATTGAAGCCGGGGAGTGAATAATTTTTGAAAGGGGGAGGTAAAAGGGAGAAGAGGGGGGCCCGGACGGAGCCGGGGGGCCCCCGACGAGGGGGGGGGGAGGGGGGGTGGCGTGTTGTGGGTGACGCAAAAGAAGGGGGGGAAAAGGTGGAGGCGAACCAGGGAGAGGCACGTCCTTGATCCCAAGGGAGTTCAGTTTGGCAAGGAGGGAGGGGGCAACAGTGTCAAAGGGCCGCGGAGAGGTCAAGGGGGGAAAGGGGGATAAAATTTGGGGGCCTTTGGCTTGGCAGTTAGCAGGTCATTGGGATTTTAAGTAGGGCTTTTTTGGGTGGAGTGGGGGGGCAAAGCCAGACTGAGGGGGAAAGGAGGTTTTATCAGGGGGGGGGTGCTTGGCATTTAAACCAGGCGTCAAGGATTTGGAATGAAGGGCAACAAGGAGAGGGCAAAGGTTGTTAAGGTTAGTGGGGTCAAGGGAGGCTTTTTGAGTTGGGGGATGTGGGTGCTTTAGGGGGAGGGGAAGGTGCCTGTGGAGGGGGAAAATTGAAGAGTGGGTGGGGGAGCGGATAAAATGGAGGGGGGGTGACTGGATCTTGGGGGGGTAGGGTCCAGGGGGCAGGTGGGAGGCAGGTTTCAGTAAAGCCTTAGAGACCCCTCAAGGGGTTGGGCTGAAGGGAGCGGGTTGGGGGGTGGTGATGGTGTGCAGGGCCAATGGGTTATAGTGGGGGTAGTGTGGCTATGAGGTGGGGGAGGGTTAGGAGGTGAGGAAAAAAGGTTGGGAGGCAGGCGTGGAGAGGTGAATTTGTGAGCTTTAACAATGTCCTTTCGGATTGCGTCAATTCTTGTTCTGGCAGTGAGTGGCAATCTCGTGGGCAGGTTGAGGTGCGGTGCTGGGTGGGGATGGGCGGAAGAGAGCCAGGGATTTGAAGGTGGAGACAGGGCCGATGTAGGTATGTTGGAGAGGGTTCGGATTCGGGTTATGAATAGGCTTGCTTTTGGTGGCGTGGAGGGAGGTGGTGTAGGCGGATGTAGGGTAAGGCAGATCTTTATAGAGGTAGAGTGGGAGGGGATTTGGTGTTGCTCATAAGCGCTCCAGCGCGCGACTGCGTCGTTTGAGGCATTTACTTGTGTGGTGGTCGGTTTGCCAGGGTTGATGCGGTGGTCGGGGTCTAATGCTATGAGTGGTTAGGGGTGCCAGAAGTCTAGGGACAGCTAGCAGTGAGTCTTGTATGCAGTAGTGGCAAGAGTTCAGGGCTTGCATGGAACTCATAGGGAGGTTGCTGTCATACAGACGGTCAGCTGCTGGGTGGAGATGGGTCTGGGTTCATATAGTGCGGAGATTGCGGGTGACAGTTAGAGACGCTTCGGGGGGGAGTTGAGGGAGGGGGAGATGGAGGATTTGTGACGGAGTGGTGGTTGGTCCGAGAGAGGGATGGGGGTGTTAGTGACGTCTTGGGATGTGTGCAGAGGAGCGCGGGGAGACAACGTTGGTCCAGGGTGTTTCCGTTGGCTAAGTGGATAAGACGGAATGGGTGTGCTGTGTCGAGTGCGAAGGAGCGCGGTTGGAAGTAGCCGGGCTTTTGGCTTGAATCGGGATAATGAAGGGTACGCCTAGGATGATGGTACGGTAGCTCTGATGAGTGGGAACAAAAAGGGATAGCCAGGCGGCAAAGTCGTCAAGGAAGGGGGATTTGCCGGAGCAAGGAGGCTGATGGATTACCGCAATCCGTAGGGGGGTGGGTTGGTGGGTGGTTGGGGGTCGGGGGGGGTGGAGGGTAGGGGGGGGGGGTAGGGGGGGAGGGGGCGCGGCAATCAGGGGTGCTTGAAGGCCCGCGGCGTCGGGGGTGCTGAAGGCCCGGCGTCGGGGGGAGCAGAATGCCCGGGCGTCGGGGGTGGGGTTGCTGACAGCCCGGCGTCGGGGGTGCCTGAAGGCCCGGGCTTCGGGGGTGCAGAAGGCCCGGCCCGTCCGGGGGTGCAGAAGGCCCGGCTTCAGGGGGTGCAGAAGGACCCGGCGTCAGGGTCAGGGGTGCAGAAGGCCCGGCGACAGGGTGCAGAAGGCCCCGGCGTCAGGGTGCAGAAAGCCCAGCGTCTGGAGGTGGGTGTAGGCCGGCGTCAGGAGGTGGTTTATAAGGCCTGCGCCGGGAGGTGGTGTAGGTGGTGTGTAGGATCAATGTCTGGAGGCGGAGTGGGCTAGGCGTTGGTATATTTAGTAGTAGGGCTCGGTGTGTCAGTGGGCGAAAGTTAGCCAGCCAAGGCGGATGTTGTGGGCAGGTGCTGAAGGGTCCTGGCGTCAGGAGGTGTTGAAGGGCCGTCGGCAGGAGTGGTGTGGACCGACGTCTGGAGGTGGAGCGGGCTAGTTGCAGTAGGGCTCGGCGACCGTGGGTGAATGTGGCAGCGCAAGTGGATGCTGCAGGCCAGCGAATGAGGGTGTGCTAAGGGCCCAGCGTCGGTGGGGAGCTGGTAGGGGCTGCGTGGCAGGCTTGACTCCCGCCGATTGGACAAGGGTTTGGGCTGTTTCGGTGGTAGGGTGCCCGGCCGCGTGGTACCCGGAGGGATGGGAACTGGTAGTGGAGGCTTAACCACATCTTGATGCGGGTGGGCGGAGGCTGTGGGGCGGCGTCGCAGTTCTCGGTAGGCCGGGAGAGGTCCCTGGTCTGGGGCGTGGGTGCCGGTTGGATGCAGGGTGCTCGACGGCCGAAGCAGCCCCCCAGGCAGGGCCGCTGGATTGCAGGCAGCCTGGGTGTCGGCAGCACAGGGTGTCCCGAGGTGGCAGCCTGGTGCCGGCGGCTGGATGCTGGTGGCCCTGAGAGCCGGTGGGGAGGGCTCCAGGGGGACGGGCAGGTCGTCAGGCTGGGTGGATGGAGCAGCAGGCCACCGTGGGGTCCAGCCGATTCCTGGTGGTCAGCGAGGATCCAGGGCTGATGGGAGGACCCTGGGGAGACAGGCAGGTTGGCGGTGATCCGGGGGACGGAGCGGCGGCGTCCGGGCGGATGTGATCCTGGCGATCTGGGTCGGCCGCGGGCAAAAATCAAGGCTGCGGCTTCGGGGAGCGCGGTAGGCCGCGATTCCCGGAGCTCCGGGAAAAAGGTCCGGTGGCCTTCCTTGGTGGCCAGCAGGAACCGGAGTGTCGTAGGGGCCCCCGCTAGGGTCCACTGCGGCCCGGATAGGCGGCGGATTGGGGGCCAGGAGCACAGGATAATAAGCACATCATCATGCAATGCTGCACCCAAATGAAATTTATGTCCTTTTTTCCCCACGAATTGAGCTTTCTTTTGGTGGTATTTGATCGCCCTGTGTTTTTTTTTCTTTGCGCTATAAAAAAAAAAAAACGACCAACAATTTTGAGAAAAAAACAATATTTTTGAAATTTTTGCTATTAACCATTAGCCCGCCCCGGCCAATGGCCGTTTGGCGGCTTCAGATGTGTATCTGCTTCCGGGTGCACGCCAATTTGGCGTGCTCCCCGCACATGCGCCGTTTTGCGCTTGTGCAGAGCGGCGCAGCAGTGCGATCCTGTCATCGGCCGTGCACCTCGGACACGGCCGATGACAGATCCGAGTACCGGCTCCCGTTGCTGGTACCATGTGACCTGCTGTGATCAATCATCAGCAGGTCACATGACAGTTGTACTACAATGGATGGCTTCATTCATGATGCCATCCATTGTATACTAGTGCCTAGCTGTGAATGGTCACAGCTAATCACATGCACATGTCATGTGATTAGCTGTGACCAAATCACAGCTAAGCACAAAAAAAAAAAAAATTAATTTCATTCAGGTAAATGCTTTGCTTATAGCAAAGTAATTCTTTGCTATAAGCAAATTGTGTAAAAAAAAAAAAAATAACTGATCACTCGTCTCACTTCCCCAAAGTAGTACAATGTTTACTATGGTAACATTGTACTATTTTGGTCATAGTAAACAATATGAAAAAAAATCTTAAAGAAAATAAAAAAAAAGTAATAAAAAATTAAATATAATAAAAAAAATAAAAAAATATATATATATTTTTTTTATTTTCATACTGTCACCAGTCAGTGTCCCTGTTCACCGCCATGCCAGTTATATGATGACGCTGTAACTGCACTGGTGACAGTATGTAAAAAAAAAAAATAGTGAAAATAATTTTTTTCATTTTTTTCATTTTTCCTGAAAAATTATGACAAAAAAAAATAACAACTTCAAAAAACTCGCCATGCCTCTTATGAAGTACGTCGGACTGTCTACTCTGCAAAAAAGGGTGTCATTTGGGGATATCTGTACTATTCTGACATTCTTGGACCTCAAGAAATTAGATTGGCCGTCAGTACTTCAGGATTGATCAATTTTCAGATCTAATACCATAGTTTTGTGAACTCTATAACTTTCCTAAAAACTAAAAAATACATCCTAATTTGGGTTATTTTCACCAAAGGACATGTAGCAGAATACATCACGGACTTCGGCCTAAATTTATGAAGAACAATTATTTATTTGTAAACTTTTATAACAGAAACAAAGAAAAATCGTGGGTTTTTTTTTCAAAATGCTTGGTCTTTTTTTGTTAATTTAGCAAAAAAGTAAATAAACAACCCCAGTGGTGATTAAATACCACCAAAAGAAAGCTCTAGTTGTGTGAAGAAAATGATAAAATTTTAGCTTGGGTACAGTGTTGTATGACCGCGCAATTGTCATTCAAAGTGTGAGAGCGCTGAAACCTGAAAAATGGCCTGGGCAGGAAGGTGTAAAAATTGCACGGTATTGAAACGGTTAAAGATGTCCAGTAAAAAATTTAAAAAATCATATGTCGTCATAAATTTAGACCAAAATGTATTCTGCGACATGTCTTTGCTAAGAAAAATTCCAATACATGTAAATTAATTGGTTGACGTGAAAGTTATAGTGTTTACAAATGGCAGTATACTATATACTGGGATTTTTTTTATTTTAATTGTTACTAGTAATGGCAGCGATCAGTGACTTATAGCGGGACTGCGGCGGACATTCTGACACTGGGGGGGAACTGACTTGGTGTCAATGACATCCCCAGTGACACCAATACAGTGATCAGTGCTAAAAAAAAAGCGCTGACACTGTACTAATGGCACTGGGCAGGAAGGGATTAACATGAGGGGCGATCAAAGGGTTAACTGTGTGCTGTTTTACTAAGTGCTGTGTCTGTGTGGTTCACTGTAAGCACATTGCTTTGCATGGCTGTGCTCTGTACAGCCATCCAGAGCAGTGTGCACGAGCTGACAGGGAGGAGAATTGTTTTTTGCTCGGCAATCATCGGGCGCCGGCAAGTAATCAATGCCCGGGACCTGGTGATTGACAGCTGCGGCTGCGAATGGTGGCACTTCTCCCCTCTCTCTTCTCCTGGGAGACTCGGCAGCAGTGGGAGCTGTCAGTCAAATTCTGTGAGCAGGGAGCATGGGGCGGGACTGAGTAGCACTATGTCTGTCTATAGAAGCACACAGCCCGGCTCAGTATCTAGCTCGCACGTCTGCCCCCATAGCAAGCGTTTTGCTATGGGGGGAGACGGAGAAGAGGAGGAGCAGACAGTGCCAGCGGGGGACCCCAGAAGAAAAGGTTCAGGGACACTCTGGGCAAAACCATTGCACAGAGCAGGTAAATATGACATGTTTGTTATTTAAACAAAAAAAGTAACCTTTACAATCACTTTAAAGCTGCATGGTTTATTGCAAAGGTTTATAAACAATTCTGCTCATTGACCCCTTCATGATGTTTCAGATTGTTCAACCCCCAGACATTCATTATATAAACTTAAGTAAATACTACTTTTACATCTTCTTCAGTACTATGCATATATTATAGTAATAATAAATAATAATGATAATATGCCTGTATGTACTGTTGATTCCTCTTTGTACTAGCAGCTGCCATTGTGGTTGTTATAATGCTGTTTTGTTTTGTTTTAGTAAATTTACAGCAGTCAGCATCTATATATTTTGAAAAAAAATATTTTTAAAAATATGTTTTTTTTAAATATATTCTTCAGATTTTTTGTTAACATATAAACAAGTAATTTTAACATAAATTTGTAAATGCTTTCCAAAAATGTAGATTTGTATTTTTAAAGACATACAGTGTATTTGAAAATGTATTTTTAAAAATATTTTTCATATATTCTGTAATTAAAACGCATTTCAACATATACAGTATATGTATATATATTATTTATTGAATTATATTGAATATGGCCAAAATTGTAGTATTTCAAAATTATTGTCAATATTTTTGGGAAGAATATTTTTTAAAATATATTTCAAATATATTTTTCTTCCATTTGGGAGTCCTTGTGCCCACAAACGCTAGTTTCTTAATCGCTGTGTTACAAGCGAGAGTCTCATAAACAAACATGAACCCTAAGACAGGATTATTCTTAAAAATATAACTCTGTTATCACATATGCTTTTTTTTGCACATAAACAATAGTTGAGGAAAAGTCAGCACCCAGCTAAACACTTTTGTTACAACTATGTACTGTGCTTACAGAGGGCAAGAGTCATGTGTATATCTGATTTATGCAGTATTCAGAGTGGGTTGTGTAGTGCACCTTACATTGGTAGTCAGTGGAAAAGTGCCCCCATACATTGGTGGTCAGTGGAAAAGTGTCTCCATATATTTGTTGTCAGTGTAATGCAGCCCTTTCATGGGAGGCCAAATTCCTCCTTGGGTTCATAGTCAGTGGTGACATGCCTCACATATTGGTTATTAGGTCTGTAGTGTCCCTTTACAGCAATTGTCAATATCAGCCCAGCTAAACAGATTTCAGTGTTAGATGTCATTGATTGCTTACCTGAGAGAAGAGAAGTTTCTGCTACTCCTCTTCCAACTCAACCAAACGTGTTTTTAGATGAACACAATATGACAACATCTGACATGATTATTACATTTGTGCCCTGTGCTTGCTCCTTAGCTTTATCTAATTCCAATTGGGTGAACTCTGGTTGAAGTACAAACTGGCCAGAAGGTGGCACCACCCGGTTATTTAAACCCTAACTCGAGGCTTTTCTTTTTCTTTGCATTTCAAAACAATTGAGAATAACCAGTTAGCCATTAGCAATCTACTGGTACATTCATGACCTTGGGTACCTTGGGTTATAAGGATCAGTTCACTAAAATATAATGCATGTCATTTTTCCTCACCCTGTATTATTTACCTTTTTTTTTTCTTTTTTTTTTTTAAATCCTTTTAAATAAAATGCATGAACAATGCACTACATGCTCTTCTGCACTGTCTTCATTGAAGTCTATTGATCCAAAAATGCCATGTTTTGCATTTAAAAATGTCCCCGTCCCCGTTCCAAAAACACAGAAGTTGAAAAAAGCATAGATGTGAATGTGTCCCTTAGGAAAGCATGTTAAGTGGACTGTAGGGTGTTTCTGCAAAAGCATTAAAAAAATGTGTAGGTGTGAACCAGGCCTTAGGGGGGCTGGGAGGTTGCTGCACACAGAAGGTTTTTACCTTCAAGCATAGAATGCATGAAGGTATTTAAAAAGTCTTGAGTTTTTACAACCACTTTAAAATGACTTTGTTTCCCCCACCAAGTAGCTCAAATGCTTACACTCACCTGTTTTTCACTCCTCAGAGATCTTCATTGAAGGGTCCAGCTTGGGTAGCAGCACAGCCACCACTACAGAGTCTCCCACCCAAATGTATAAGAAATCTCAATTTATACCTATGGAAAGGCCATCTAGTATGCATTTCAACAGTAGACATCAGAGAAATGTGTGGAGATGTATGGAAGAAGTAAAGTCCAAATGGAAGAATCTGCAGTCGGTCATGATGAGTTAGTGAGCCCAACAGCAATGTTCTCTGTAGAGCAAGGTCAGGTGAGTACAAGATCGGGGGGGGGGGGGGGGGGGGGGCCTGATATGATCTTTAAAAAGATAACAGTACTAAAAGAATAGTTCCTTTAAAGTTCAACTCCAGGATCAATGTACCAATGACTACTGGGGATTTCCCTGACTTTGGAGGGATTTTCTGTCGCTTCCTGTTATGTCTATGGGACAAGATTAAGTGAAATCTCACCATCATGGGACACAAATAGTTAATAGGGAATATATAACTCTCTCTCTTGCTTTGTACATAATAAAAAACAGGTTTGCCTTCAGTTCTACTGTCTATGTAAACTCTAACAAAGAAACTTCTCTTTTTCACTCTCTTTGGGTATGTTAAATATTACAAGTGAAGGCATTTTGTGTTATCTACACAAAAGGCAGCTCCCGCTGGTGGCTCGGATACAACTAAACCCAATGTTACCACCTCTTCCTGCAGGTTGTTAAAGGATAGTCAGGGTGTGACATGTTACTAAAGCACCTGCCCACATCCTGGCCCATTGTAACAACAGGCAGGGGATCTTCTCTCCCTAATTCAAAAAAACAGCACAGCCATACGAGGCTCTGCCCACACAGCTACATCATTCATTTCAGAGAGTTCTGTGAAAGAATGAACTACAAGTACCGTCTTCCACTGCGCGGGACAGATTGCTTCTCGTAGGTTCATTGATCTT